TGGGGCAACAACCAAAATCCGCTTTTCTTGACATTCTAGTTCTCTCTCCTCAACTTCCCTTCATTCTTCCTGCTGTCTGTTCATTGATGCTGTGTTCATGAGAGCCAGAAGGTGGCAACAACCTGAATGTCAACTGAAGATTGGATAAAGAAAATATGGTACATTTATATAATGGCGTTTTTACTCAACTGTTAAACAAACAATAATGGACAGCTCCTGAAATTTGCAGGTAAAAGCCTAGAACTGAAAACACAAACAAACAATCAGAAAAAGATAAACTTTCTCTGATTGAAGTAGCTCAGACACAGAAAGATAAATAAGGTATATGTTTGCTTATATGTGGATCTTAGCTGTTAAGTCATTGATAAACAAGCTACAATTTGTAGAAACACAGAGGTTAGTCACAGAGTGAGGGACTTGGGCGACAGATAGATATAGTTAAGAAATTGAAATTGAATAGTTAGTTAGTTTATTAGTTAGTTAGTTAGTTACAGATGGATGGGGGGCTGTAATGGGAGGATTAAGTGTGGAAGGAAGGAGAGAGGCAAACAAAGAGAAAATACAATGGAGACAGCTAAAATTAAGGGCTGCTTGAGGGGTGCTGTGGAAACTTGAAATCACCAAATAATGGGAGAAACGGAGTCCCAAATGGACATCTCTTGTCAACAAATGAAGCTTTGAGTATTGGGACTGGGTTACGTCTAGTTGAGTTGTTACTCAATGGGGTCCTGTGGGTATCCCCAAACAACTCAAGCTATTGCCAAGATTATAAGTTGCTCTCCACAAATTGACGGCAAAGCCCCATTGCTGAAGACAACACTTGAACAACTCATTGAACACGGAGAAATCAAGCTGGGTTCCTAGAGAGAGCCTTTACCTCTCTGCCCTAGTATCTTTGATCAAGCAAGGTACTCTGCAAAATACTGAAAGAGAAACAGAAATGCCTAGCTAGTCACAAACTCTTTGATCTACAATGTTCTACCTGCTAGACAATAGTGGCACAAAGCTTGTTTGAATAACTCACCAATATCTGACCTCAGGTCCACTCAACAAGATGAAAACAATATCTGTCAGTGGTTTTCTAACTAAAAACCTGAGACTAGACAGCCAAGGACCTAGGGTAAAACCAAATGCTACTGCTCTAAGGCAATAAAAAAAGTAGCTATAAAATGACATCCTGTTATACTCAGAGATCAGTGCCTTGCTCAGACATCATCAGAGAAGCATCCTCCTGCAGTAGATAGGAACAAATACAAAGACTTACGGCTAGACATTATGCAGAGTCAGATCTTGGGACACCCAGCCCTAAATGAGATGTCACCTCCCAGTCCCTATCCTCAGAGCTCAGGGAAACTCATGGAAGAGGAGACAGAAAGATTTTAAGAGTTAGAGCAAATGGAGGACTTAAAGAGTACAAAGGTCTCTTTAACTAAGCAAAGCTCATACGAATTCACAGAAACTAAGGCAGCAAGTACAGGACATGCACAGGCCTTCACCAGGTTCTTTATGTATGAATTACGGCTTTCTGTTTAGCGACTTTTATGGAATTCCTGAGGGTTTGAAAATGTGGGTCTCATATTCTTAAACTTTCTTTTGGGTTCTTTTCCTTCTGTTCCTTTGTTTTGTCCAGTTCTGATCTGTAAATTTTTCTTTGCTCTTAATGAATTTTAGTTTTATTTTATTATTATCCCTTAAGTTTGTTTTCTAAAGAAAGACAGAAAGAGAGTGGATCCAGGTGGGAAAGGAGGTGTGGAGGGACTGAGAGAATTAGAGGGAGGGGAAACTGTAATCAGGATATTTTATGTGAGGGGAAAAAAATCTATTTTCACTAAAATTTAAAAAAAAAGAAAGGGGGAGGAGGTAAGAGGGTAGAAAAGCATGCCTCTCTGGATGCCATGAAGTTTTAGCTGAAAAAAAAAAAAGAACACTTTGAAAGTTCATTAAAATAGGAGTTTGCACCTAAAATGATGCCTTTGTTCAGTGACTAATACTACTTTAAGATTCTATAAGGGATAGCTTGAATGCTAAAATGTAACTACTGAGTCACACGAGAAAACAGAAATATCTCAGTCTTCAGCAATGGGACCCTGGCTGCTTGGAGCCTGACCCAGTGGTTTGTGCTGCTTCTGGGAACCGAAGAAAGAAGCTGGTCGGGAAGTGTAGGGTGGGAACCACAGAAAGATGCCAGTCTGCTCTCATCCTTGACAGCCAGAGTTGTGTTGGCTCGACATTAAAAATGTCCCTGTTTCTATGAGTAATTCTGTCCTGGTCAAAGAACAGAAATCCTAAGACTGTTTAGGGGAACTGCTTTGAGTTCTGATTTCTTGTTTTCAATCTTTATTCATCTTTTACATAGACATAAAGGACCACAGCAGCCTGGAAGCTATATGTGACTAGACACTTTCGGGGTCCTGGAAGGTGTTCCCAAACCTCCAGTCCAGTACGGACACCATAGTAGAGAAAGGATCATGAAGATATTCTAGGTGGGACAACTGGACTGTCCAGGCTATCCTTGCATGCCGCAAACCTGGTAAAGTTTTATTAACCCCTAGATAAATCCTTTGGGAGTATAGAAAAAAGGAAAAAAAAAAAGCTAAAATAGTTGTCTTTTCTGTAAAAGAAAAAGGTTTTTTTATAACAAGGAATTTAAATCTTTTTATCTCTCCAACCTTGTAAAAATTTTATTTTCACAAAGTCCTTGCTACAATCTTAGAACTGAAGTGTCTTAGTTTTCCTTCATTTCATTTGTGTGGAGTCTTTTAAAAAACAGCCAATCACAAAAGACTGTGAGGTGAGGAGCGACACAGACACCGCCAGCTTTAGAATAAAACCACCTGAACTTCCTGTCTGCTTACTTGCTCTTCTGCTTTGCTGAGTAGTATATGCTTGTGAGCAGAAGTAAAGTTTGTCCCTATTGAATTCTTTTTCTTTGCTGCTCCGTATTTACTTCTAACAGTGGAAGTCCCCTTTTGGAACCCACTGCTGCCATTATGCACGAGTTCTGTCCGCCCCGTTTCTCTTACATCTTCAGCTATAATAAACTCATTTTCTGAACCGCAGCCAACCTGCCTTGTCTGTGGAATTCATCCTGTGACATCGCCCTGGGTGGTTTTGGAGGTCACTGAATGTCTGGGGTCCTAGTACACCCCATCCACAGATTATTCTCACCTGAGGCAAGACAGGTGTCTTCCTCCCAGAATACCTGTCCTCCTCTTCCTCTTTCAAAGCCTTATTTCAAACAATTAGGTCCTAACCCCTCTTTCTCATGGAGCTGAGCCCTGAAGGGACAAATTTATTATGGAAGAATAAGCAGTGTGTTGTCTGCTTATTGATCTCCCAAAAAGTACCCCGCACAAGTGACTCCAGAGGTAAAACTGAGTAAGTTCTTACCTATTCTAATGGGCCATCCGTTTCTTCTCAGGAGGCAGTCCTCTCTGAGAATGCGCCCTCTGTGTTCCTGTCACTCAAACAGCCAGCGTATGTTCTCTATGAAAACTTTTGTATTGCCTCTGCTCTGTAAGTACGCCCGTCTACATTCTGTTACAGACACGCCAATAACCCAACTATTACTTGATTGAGTAGTTCCTGAGTAAATTCAGTTACGGATTCACTTTAAACACAGGTTGTTTGTGACTGCAATCCAACTCTCTCGTTTTGAAAGTGGATGGATGAAGAGCTCCGAGCACATGCTTGACCTTTTCTCAACTCAGTCTTGAATAGTTTAGCAAGATATTTTGACAGGCATTCCTTTCTGAGGAGAACACGCATCTTGATCCAACACAACTATAAATGTTATGAAACACCAAGCATCAACCCAATCCAGTCAGATTGTATTTTTACAAACATAACATAAAGCTGAAGACAAACAGCCAAAGAACTCTCTGCCATAAGACGGCCTGTAATAATGACAGGTGAGCCTGAGGCCAGCCTGGTCTACAGAGTGAGTTCCACAGAGAATCCCTATGTTGGAAAATAAAAGCGCGGTAAACAAAATTAGCAGTTTTCTTCACAGTCCTAATAAAAATATAAAGCCAGTGCCCGAAGGATTCCACGTCGAAGGCAATGTCCCCGCTCATTGCACTACAGAGTTTCTCCTAATATCCTTAATCAACTTCCCTTGATTTTCTGAGAGGTTTCCTTCATGTTTCCTTCCTAAGCCAGTGACAATTAAAATAAAAATTTCAAAGGAGTAAAGCCAAAGAGGAAAAGCTACAAAAATCCGATTTGGTTTTCCTCCCCTTACCCTCTCCTCACTTCCCAGCCACTAATCCGCTCTCAAGCAGCACAATAGAGCAGCTAGACAGAAAGAAGGGAGATAAAATTGGCCAGCTACTACATTGTCCTTGCTAATCTGCGCCATTTACATAAGGGTTAGGAGGCTTGTTTTATCATTTAAACAGACTTAAAAGCCCTTCGCAAATGAGATTTAGTTCCTAAAAAAGAATGAATTGGTTGGTGCTATTTGGCTAGTTGCTTCTAGCCCAGAGCTGACTTGGCAGTAACCAGGCTGCTTCTTGGGCCACATGGAGTGTAAGCAAAGACTGCTTCCAGCTGCCAAAACCCTCAAACTGATTAAATTCTTACCAGGAGGTGAACAGGGTGAGGGCCAGGCTCAAAGGCCAGTCATACCAGAACTTGAGCTATACCTGAACACTTTTTAAGCAGACAACTCAGGGTGGCCCTGGGTGTTCAAGCCCCTTGACTCTTCTCTCAAAAGGAAAATGAAGAGCAGACAGGAAATGTACTACAGAGGCTGGAAAACTCCACACGGTCCAAGCTGTGAAGGAACAACCAGCTAAGCTCTTTGATTCATCATTGGTCAGACTGGCCTTGAGCACAAAGACAAACCGCAAAACTAACTCCTTTGCCAGCGTCAGAACAAAAGCAATTAGAAGGAAAATGTGCTCTTAGCATAAAATGTGCTCTCTGCATCGAATGTGCTCTCTGCATCAAATTCTAGACGATAACTCTATATACCATACACCAACTGTATGTTTTACCTTGCACACCTTGAACAGATGTTCAGAGTGACTTTGGCCTGTGGCTCAGCGGGGTGCGTAGGACGACCTTGGTTAAATTTGCTCCCGGAAAGAACCAGGGTAGTAACGCCCTCCATTCTTAAATCATCAAGATCTTCTGTAAAAACACAACAATAAACACGAGGAATTAAATCCAGTTGAATTAAACAGAGAAAAAAACATGTTTAACAGTACCTACCCATAATTTGTAAAGTAAACCACTATTTTGTATTTTCTACAAAATAAACCAACTCATATACAGTTATATTTCCATTTTTTCTAGGTATAGTTGTGTCAATAGTAGCTACACAGCCTAACACCTCCACCTGCAGTCTTATCTGTAATGATTAAATAAAAATGAGCAGCCATTTCCAGACATGGGTCAGCATAGTTCCCCAAGTGACTGCAGTGGGCAGCGTGGGCCATGAGTTTCAGGAAGGAAGCCATGTGGTGGGTGAGAGACCTTGATGGGGCAACCAGTCCCACGAGGAGAGACAGACAGACATGCCACAAGACCACAACACAGGGCTCCAAAGGCGGCTGCTCTGGGGTAGAGAGCCACATGGTGGGTGAGAGACAGAGACGTGCAGAGTGAGGTTGGATATTTATTTAGTGGGTTACAGAGAAGAAAGGGAGAAGTGGAGACGAGCAGAGAGAAAGAGACTGGGGGAGAAGTGGGGAGAACAGAGAGAGGCAGAAGCTGCCTCTTTCCGGGAAGAGACAGAAAAGGAAAGAGATTTGAGATTTGAGCTGCAAGCAGGAAGGAAGCTGCCTCAGAAGACTTGGGGGGCACAGGACACACAGGATGGAGTAGGCAGAACTTGTCTCTTAAAGGGACAGGACAGATCAATTACCTTATCCACTCAGGGAAAGCCAGATTTTACCTATACCAAAGAATCAGGGTCAGTCAGTATGAAGCTGCATTGGGTTTATTAAGTAGAGATGAACACTTTAGGTTTAAGTGTAGGCAGCAGCGAACTCGGCAAATATTCTGTCCAAAGCCAACCCCCAAAACGGCTGTACTGCTGACAATGTCTTTAACAGAAGAGCTCTGATCAGGTAACTAGAAGCCTAAATTCAGCACCCTGGGGAGTCTCCTGACAGGTGTTTCTGTTTACCAGGAAAGTAGATCTTGTAAAGAAACCCACCTTAGCCCTCCTTTATTCCAGCCCCAAAGGTCATTTATCTTCATAAGGTCATCAAATTATCTGTTCCTCATCAATTTGAACAATCTGTATCAGCCCAAAGATACCCACCCTGCAGACTTCCTACAAAATCTGCTTGCTTTCTTGCCATTTTGCTTCTTCCCTCCTCCCCCAACCTGAGAGACAGCCTCGGCAATCTAATCACCAAAAAATCTTTCTTTCTACCCATGGAGTAGTCTAGTTCAGTGTTTTTACTCCATCCTCACCTACAGCGAACATTCTCTAGTGCCTTGATAGCAGCATGAATGAGTCTGTGGCTTTTGAAGTTATATTGTTGAAAGGCCATATTTTACAACCGGTTTTAAAATGTAAGACAAGTTTAAAATGGACATAGTATCAAGCAGCCTTGTCAGTATGTAATGCCATACTTTTGGGTTAGTGCAGCTCCCCTACCCTCTGTTCCCTTGCAGAGTTTCTTTGGACAGTGGACAATGGACAATATTTACAACTGGCCCAAGTGTAGACAGTAAGTACCTGTGAAATGTGCAGTCATAAGGATGGCAACTGTATCATACAGCCTCTCCAGAAGGTTCTAGAAGAGCACTGAAGAGGGGGCAGAAAGAGTGTAAGAACCAGAGTTGGGGATACCGAGACGAAATGTCTTCTGGGCATGCCAGGATCACTGCACTCATGCAGCCACAGTGGCTACAGCTACCTGCTTTCCTGGACTTGTGTGCATGCGCCTCCACAAGAGGAATTCAGTCAGCATGACAGAGTGCTTGCAGGAGGCACACACACTACCTGAGTGACCATTCAGAGTTGATGGCTTCTAGGGGAGGAAGTCAGTTTTCTTTAGGGGAACGGCCCCACATTTGTGGACACATTGACATAGAGGAAGCGCTAATTAAACTCAGTGGTTTATTGAAATAAAATTTAAAAAAATAAAAGTATGAGATCGGGGAGATGCCAGAAAACATGAATTGAGATTGACTATATTTACAGAGAATTATCAAAAAATAAATTAAAAATATGTTTGGAACATTAAAATTTAAAAGTGAAGCAAGCTTGATGATGTTTAGAAAATACAAGCTTATATATCCTAAAGAATTTCCTTTGGTAAATTAAATTGCAAGGTGGTTTTATAAGAAACATTGATCCATTTTAGGGATGAGAAGAGTATTGGTATGGTTAAATTCAAAGGCAGTATACATCCTGACTGAAGGCTCTTTTTGAGATAACTCTAAGAGAAAGGGAATATTGTCTCTGCAAATGACATTGATCTTTCCCATTATGTTATAGTTCTTTACTCTCAGCCAGCAAAAAGGCAAAGTGAGAAAGGTTCCTGTCCCTTCCCATGTCCCCTTTATTTCTTGTCTTTTGGTCTTAGTAGGAAACAAATTATATGAAAGGATTTAAGGAATGCAAAATTGTGAGAGACGGATGACACAAAGATCCAAAGAATAGTATACTTCTATGGCTAGAACCTAGACCACAGCCTCTGATTTACCCATCCAGTGAACCAAACACCACCTCTGCAGCAGTCACCCCAAATAGTCAGGGTGTGGCTGATAACTTCCATCTTCCATGTTTTTGTATTTGCTACTAACTCAAAGCCAACTATATAAAACTAAATATTCAGGAACACCCAAACCTGTGAGTTCCTAAGCAGGTGCTGGATGCATCCATGTGCAAAAAAAAAAAAAAAAAAAAACATGCAAACAAAGTGAAAGTAACCGGAAAAGGAAATTTCATTTTGCAAGAAGGGTAAACTAGGCTAACTAGCACATCTGGGCAGGAAGCTCACTAAGTTTCTTTCTAGCACTGGTGGCAACTGTGGGTTTTTCCCCTTGCTTGGGGGCTGAAGGCACAGTCTTTCACAACTGGCTAATTCTTAAAGAGCTGGTGCAAATGAAATGAAGGAAAGTGGGGTAGAAGAAGAAGAGATCAGTTGTCCCAGGCAGGAAAGTGGGTGAGGGGTGCTGTGGGTTAAGAAAAATTTTACCACATGAGAGAGATTAAAAGATTTAAATTCCTTTGCATGAAACTTTACAAGGTGGGGAGATTTATGGAACGTTGGCCTTTGGTGAGCTGCTTACCCCTGTTAGTTAAAAGCACTTCTCTCACAGGGAAGGTTGAAAGCATTGCTGGAAACAGACCCCAAACCTCTGAGTTCCAGGATCTAAGGCAGCTTGGCTGTGGTCACACAGAACCAGTCTCACTTGCCTACCCAGTATCTCTGTGACTGCTGCCATGCTAAGTTATGTGTGGTCCATCTCACAGTTTGCTTAATAACGAAGCCTGATTCCCTGCAATGCAAGACCTACTTCCTCTCTACCTTCTTGTAAAGACTTTAAGAGGAGGTCTCCTTTTGTCTTGCCTTCTCAGCCTGGAAGCTCTACCTTCAGAGCCGTGTTGTAGTCAGCATGCTTAATGACCTTTCTCCTGAGAAGGACAACATATCTTTGCCTCTCCCTCAATCCCACCTATCTCTCTAATATCTAATTTGTTGGGAAATAAAATGTTTGAGAGGTGAGCCTAGCTGCCCTGCCTTGGGGACACTTTCCCACCTTTGCCACTACACTCCCCATCTCCAGCACTAGGACTTCTCCTTCTCCAGTGCCAGGTGTTTTTATTCTTCAGTGCCAGTATCTTTGGTGAGTCTTTCCCAGGTGTTCACTAAAAATGTCTGCCCATCTCAATGCCCATAAACCAAAAACCCTAGATTTAGATCAGATCTTGGGTTTTCCCAGGCCTGTTGAATCTTAACATGGTCAGGATTCAGCTGTGCTCTCTACTGTCTTTGATTGATGTGGGATTCCCCTCTGTATGCTGTGAATATGTTTAATTATCATTGATTAATAAAGAAGCTGCTTTTGGACTAAGGCAGGGCAGAATGAAACCAAATGGGAAATTGGAGCAGAGTGTAGAAAGAAAGTAAGCAGAGTCAAAGAGATACTGTGTAGCTGCAGAAGGAAGATGACTCTTTGTAGCTGCCCAAAAAGCAAGAGGTAACAAACATTAAGCCTCCTGGTAAAATATAAAATAATAGAAGAGGGTTAACTTAAGATATAATAGTTAGCCAGAAATATGCCCAAGCTATTGGGCAAGCAGTGTTGTAATTAATATAGTTTCTGTGTTAATTTTCAGGTCTGAGCTGTTGGGAAATGAAAGAGCAGTCTCTACCTACAAGTGGTGCCACAATGTGGGCAACTACATCCACATAAAACCTGAGAGAGCTTGATGAGAAATTCTGGACAAAAAAGAAGAGAGTGCAGTGCAGCTTCTTGGTAGCCTCATTTTTTATTAGGATGGGCTCTGATTGCTGGTAGCAAGCAGGGGCACATCAGCTCCTTTAAAAGAGGTCTTCCGGACTCAGTATTGCCAGCAAAGGCTGCTCAGCTTCTTTAGGGAAGGGGTTCCTGGTTCGTACTAGTTGCAAGAACAGTTGTGGTGCTTTCCGGAGGCTGAGCACTTAAATGGCGTCTGTAAACAATGTGTTATAAATTGCTTAGTTGTGACATAGACATATTACAACTATGAAGCTGGGGCACTCTTAGAAGCAGTGAACATACTTCTGCCATGTTGGACAGGGCAGAGCAAACAGGCAGGAGTGCTTAGCATTTAAAAAAGAAAAAGAAAAAAGTGCTCCTGGTCAAAAAATGATTACAGACATGCAATAAAAACAGAGTCAAATGAAAAAGACCTCTAAATGCGTCACAGTGTAGAAGAAATGTATGTAGGCTTGGAAGAAAGAAGAAATTGTAATAAAAAATGGTTTTTTAAAAAGTAAAGTATATAAAGAGACAGAGTACTGATAGTCATAAATTAAAGGTATAAAAAATAATAAGCCATGTGAAGATGAAAAATACATAGAGAGTATGTATAGTATTGCATTTTCTTTGAATTGTTTGACTGTGAATGAAATAAGTACAGAGAGACATTTTATTGTATGGGCTGCTAAACTAAATCAACA